CGCGACAATACCCCCCTGGGCGCCCCGCCCCCCCAAAATCAATGCCCCAGCCCACCAGGAGAACCATGCAGGCCAGCTCCACCTGCTCAGTGTAGTGCGGCGCCTCAGTTCGCAGGGCACCCTCAGGCAGCCCCTCAAAAGGGGCCATCACCGCGGCCGCCACGGACGCGTCCGGCAAGTGAACACACGCAGGCGCCCGCCCCACCACCGGCGACTGCGCGCGCGCCGCGCGCCCCTCGCTGCCCGGCTTGCCCGTGCCATTGCCGCGGCTAGGGTGGCAGGGCGGCTGCGCCGCCGCCTGTGGCGTCCACTCCCCGGGCTCTGGCTCGTCAGCGCTGTCGCTGACGGCCTTGCCGCTCCGGCCTGGGCTGAGGCGCCTGCGCTTGTCCCCGTGACTGTCGCCTCTCTGCGGCTGCAGGCGCTTCGCCTTGGCTGGCACGCGGTCAGGGCTGCGGGGGCGCGCAGGGCTGCGGCGCCGAACTGGGCTGCGGGGGCGGCTGCGGCGCCGAATGGGGCTGCGGCTGCGGCTGCGGCGCTGCGCCGGGGCGCGGCTGCCGCTGCGCACGCGGTCGCTGCGGCGGATGGGTGATCGGCTGCGGCGCCTGGGGGCGCGCACGCCGTCATCACCAGGGGATGGCACCCCGCCGGCGGCCCTGCCACCCCCTGGTGTGGCACAGAGGTTGACGCCGGGCTCCTCTGCAGCAGGTGCATCCTCGCCGCCACCGGCTGCCTGGGAGGCGATGTGAGGGGCACCGACCTCGGCAGCATCGCCCTTAGCCTCGCCCCCACTGCACCCCCCGCCGCTGCCGCTGCCGTTACTGCCTTTGGCGCCAGCGCCGAGGACAAGCTCCGCCATCTCCCGCACTTTGGCCGCCTCGGGCGGCTGGCTGAGCGCGGCCAAAAGGCCGAGGCTGGGCGGTGACGTCATCGAGGTGGCCGCTGATGTCATGCGGTGCAGGCGCAGCATCACGGCCAGCACCTGAAGGTGAGGAGGCGGACAGGCAGCGAGCGCCCGGCATTGGATGCTGGGCCGCAGAGGGTGCATGCTGCGTTACAACATCGTCACGGCGCCGGCTTTCCCAACACCGGGGCGACCTCCGGATTGCGGCAGCCGCTTGCATAGGCGGTTGAGCGGCTCCAACCTATGCTGCTATCAAGACGAGCTCAATTAGACAGAGAAACGGAAAGCACGCCCTTTGTATGCACCTGTTGGACTGATCCGAGGTGGAAGTTGGCCTTCTCTGCCGCATCCCACGCGTGCGCCCACTCGCTATCGGTCAGCGGCGCTGAGTCTGCCTCCACCTCCGAAAGCGGCACCGCACTGCAGCCGCCCTCGACTGTCAGTATCCACTCACCCAATCCTGCCCCCTCGGCCGCTGCGGATGCCTGTGCAGTCGACAAGACGCGCCCGATGCGGCGCGCCCCGCTGGCACTGCCGGCCCTGTATGCAACCGCAGCGCCCTCCAAGGCTGACTCGCGCCATTTCAGCGGCCCTGATGCTGTCCAAAGCTCCAATAAACGTGCTGCCTCGCCCCGTGTGACCCACAGCGCCTGGAGCGCCTCGCGGGTTGCCGCGCACGGCGTGCTCAGCACCGCGTCCAGCGTGGGGTCGCGGTCCGCCACGGTCCGCAGTAGCTCGGGCGAGGTGGGGATCGGCTGGACCTGCCTGTGGTCGTTGTCCCCTACCATTTTGAGGAACGAGTTCGGGTCCACAGCTATATAATATCAGATGGACGGACATGTCACAGACTTCATGAGGAAGCGCGGGATGGTGTTGTCCAAATAACGCTTTGAAGAGATCCCCGATGCAATTTGTAAATCAATGCCGTGAAGCCGTCTAGACACACGCTGCTGTGCAACCACTTTTCTTTGGGCTCTGCCGTGGTTGCTGCTTGGTTGCTCGCTGGTGCGGTGATTGCGCTGGTGGTGTGCTGCAACTCGCTGGTGGTGTGCAGCAACAGCACAGCGTCAATCATGCCGCCCCTGCAAGCTTGCTGCCGCATTGAAGCAGCACGTCAATGTAGGAGCTCAGTCCAATGTTGGGGCCCATGGCTGACACAGTCGGAAGTCAGGCTCGTTCACCAGCGACTGAAGCGGTGCAAGGCCGTGGGCGTTGCAGCGCTGCAACCGCCAGTGCTGGACCACAGCGGTGAAATGACACAGCAACAGCGGCAACGAGGGCAGCAGCAGCAGCAGCAGCAGCAGCAGCAGCAGCAGCAGCAGCAGCAGCGGCAGCAGCAGCAGCAAAAGGAAAAGCAGCAGCAAAAGCAAAAACAGCAGCAAAAGCCACAGCAGCAGCGGCGGCCCGCTGCAGCCTTGTTGGCAGCAGGCCTTGCGCTGCTGTCTTGTGCTATTCCTGATCTGCCTGTCAGATCGGAGGCACTGACATTTAGCACCTCTCAGCAGCAGCAGCAGCAGCGGCAGCAGCAGCAGCAGCAGCAGCAGCAGCAGCAGCAGCAGCAGCAGCAGCAGCAGCAGCAGCAGGGGGACCAGCAGGCTCAGCCGCACCCAACAGCAGCCCCGGCCATCCGGGCCTGCCGGCCAAAGACGAGCTGCGTCTCCACCGCATCCTTCATGAGCCCCGCGCAGTACCTGGCCCCCTGGTCATTCGCACCCGACACCCGGGACGCCGCAGCAAGGTGGGCGGCCGCGCACTAGCGGGGTTGAGGGCAGCAAGCTGGGGGCGAGGGCGCGAAGCGCAGTGTTCGCTTGTGAGCTCGTTTGCTCCAGGCTCGGAAGCGGGCACTGAGGGCCATTGGTGTTTGCCACTATTCCTGTCTGTTGATGAGACTTTCCCTTCAATAAGACAACACATGCGCATGCTGCCTCTGTGACCTGCGTACGCTGTCAAGGGCGCTGAGGCGCGCATTCGAGGACGCACGCGGTGTGGTGCTGGCAGAGGTGGTGGAGGCGGACGCCACTACCCTGCAGGCGCAGCTGCCCATCCCAGGCAAGATTATGGTGATAGAGGCGGCCCAACAGGGCCCCTGCACTCAGAGCAGTGATGACCCGTCACCTCTGGCCTGCACTAGCGATTGCCCTGCATAGCGGCTGCGACCTACTCTAGTGGTAGCCGCTCCCAACGCTGTAGCCCACACCATGCATTTGACTGCCCCTGATATCAACCCCCAGGCTCCCAAGACATTGACACGCTGACGTTCCGACTCAGGGAGGACGGCGTTGCCCTGTTCAGCGCCGCGGCCGCCGCCGGCCGCCCCGACCCACCTTTCTGCCTCAAGCGGGGCTGCATCTCCGGGCCGGCGGAGCGCGGGCGGCTCGAGGCGCTGCGCGACAAGCTGGGGTGGGCTGTGTTGGAGGCGGATGGCGGCGAGGACGCACGATGGGTGCAGATCCTGCTGCACTAAGCGTACCTGGGAGCTGGCCCCGAACGCGGATTCGTCATGGATAGGCCCTTACACGCATACAGGACCCGGGCTTCAACACCCGTCTTTTTCTGTTGTAGCATCTTGCTTTTCTGTTGCATTGTCGTGTGGTGTACCGTGATCATGCATGCTGAAAAAATCAACAAGGTAGCCTGTAATGCATGAGGTCAGCTTGGCAGTTGGTGACTGATAGCTCGGGTTTGTTAGTGTGTGGTGTATGATGGACAGTTGGGCAAGAGCGTTGAAGGGTTACCACCTGTACAAGCACGGAGTAGTTCACAATTGATGCAGATCAAGCGCCTCTAGCAAGCTGCAGTATGGTTTGCACACAACGCCATACGCATGGCCTGCGCGACAGTCCAAGCGGTGGCGTGCAGCCGCGGCTTCCCCGTATTGATCAGGCGAGCTGCCATTTACAGGTGCCAGCCTGGCACCATCCACCGTCACGAGCACTTATCATAGCATCGGGACCAGAGCAGTGGAAGCATTTGTCGTGGCCAACCTGCCTGCAACATTGGGCGCGATTGCAGGGGACACGCAACTGCTCGACTGCAACCTACAGAATCACTCGGGCCCTACACGAGGCTGCTGGTGAACCAATTCGTGGGGGCGTGCAGGCTCAAACATGATAGCAACCATCCTGAATAGCATCCTGGACGAGCACCGCCTTCCAGCTAGGCTCTCCCCCCCTGCTCTGCACGAGGAGTGCTGGCTACTCGCCTCCCTCGCCGACGCGCAGCACATGTATGCCGGGATGACACTTGCGAGACCCAGCCACAAACACGTTTGAATCGTGCATAAAGAACACTACGCCATGCGCCTTGTCGCCACGATGGCCCCGCGCAGCCTAGAAAAATCTTTTGTAGTGTAGGCAGGGGCACGCGAAACAGCCATGTGGAACGGTATTGTTGGGTGAGCTTGTCGTGGCGGGAGATATAATCGAACTTAGCGCCGCGATGTTGATCTTGCTTGATCTCTCTTGGATTGGTTTGAAAGCCGGCCATCCAAGCATATCTTAACGCTGTTCATGCTGTACCCCAGGTCGGGGGGCTGGCCACCGGCGATGGCGCAGCAGGCTGCGATGCAGCAGCAGCAGCAAGCACTGCAGCAGCAGCAGCAGCTGGCATGGATGCAGCAGCAAGGCATGCAGCCATCAGCAATGCAGCAGCAGATGGCATGGATGCAACAGCAGGCCATGACGCAGCAGCAAAATGCGATGCAGCAGCAGGCAGCAATGCAGCAGCAGTACACAGCCCAACACCACCTGGGCGGGATGCCCCAAACAGGGCAAGTCGGCGCTCCTCAGGTGGGCATGCACCAGCAAGGCGTGCCAGGGCAGCACCAGTTTCAGCAGATGCAGCATTGGCCTCAACAGCAGCCGCAGCATCACCAGCAGCAGCAGCAGCATCAACAGCAGCATCCACAGCAGTGGGCCCCTCATCAGCAGCAACACATGGGCGACTTGCCACCGCTGCCTGGCATGGCGCAGCAGCAGGAGTGGGCGCCGCCGCTGCCGCCTATGCACCACGAGCAGCAGCAGCAGCAGCAGCAGCAGCAGTTGCAGTGGCAGCCAGTCAACCAGGGCATGGAGCACCCACCTCTGCCGCCGCCACAGCAGCATGGGTACCAGCAGGAGTGGGCTCCCCCAGGCTCGGGGCAGCACCAGCCCCCGCCACCACCACGGTTTGGGGATCAGCTGCCACCAGAGCAGCAGCCGCAGGAGGAGTGGGTGCCGCCGCTGCCTGAGCAGCCCGGGCCGCCCCTGCCGCCACAGCCCCCACTGCCGCCACTGCCGCCACCCCAGCAGCCGCACCAGGAACCTCAGCAGCAGCACTGGGCCCCCGCGGGCCCGCCTCAGCAGGTGGCGCCGCCGCTCCCCGCCCAGCCGCAGCCAACCGGACCCTTGCCACGCCCCGCGGCGCCTCCCCTGGCGCCGCGGCCGCCCCGGCCCGTCGACCTGCGGCGCCTCCTCTACCCGCCCCCCGGCGCCGGCCCCACGCCCCGGCGGCCGCCGCGGCTGCTGCTGATACTGCGCGGCATCCCTGGCAGCGGCAAGAGCTCTGTGGCGCGCAAGGTCAAGGAGCTGGAGGCGCAGAGGGGCGGGCCCGCGCCGCGTATCCACTGCATTGACGACTACTACCTCACGGTGGGGGCCAAGAGGGGGATAGGCGGTTGGGCGGGCAGC